AGATATTCATCAGCTGAAATGATGCTTTGATGACCAATGTTACCGGATCAGTCATTTTGGTTGTCGCTCTGTTGTGTTGTACAAATGTGGCACTTTTGTGACTCGTATACCTAGTGGCAGACCCACCAGGTGAGCATTGTGAGGTTCAAGGCACCTTCCTGTTGCTTCAAGGGATCAAAAGTGGTGGTGTCGCCATTCAAACACACACACACACACACACACACACACACACACACACACAAACTTCATGTGCGCTGGATTTTGATTTCAACATAATGGCCTACTTCCTGGATTTAAAATGTCCATAGTGGGTGTGTTGGGAGGCACACCTAGGTAAAAGGATGCCAGGTTTGCTCAGTCTCAGAAACCTGATATATGTAACTTGATCTTTGTTTTTCTTTGACATTTCTTTTAAAAAATAGTTTATTGTGGAGATCAAAACAAATATTTGGCAGTAGCAAGGCTGCCTTTAGAGCAGTTTTTATGTAGTCATGCCTCCATGACAATTTAATGTTCATCATCTTCTGTTTTTAATTATTTGAAATACCTTCTATACCTTTGCAATGGGGAAAAAATGGAATATTAAAGCTCCTCCTTTTGTGTTGTTTTTTTACTCGGTTAGTAGGAATTCTGTTGAAGTCCATTAAAATGAAGTAGATAAATATGCTTATGATCATCCTGTGTTTGGTTTCTACCAGGATGTACTTAAAAAAAAAAACCTTTTGCATCAACATGGATGCAAAACATTGATGCAATGCATCTCAAGAGAGCTAGTTTGTATTTAAGGAGAATATGCTTTAAACTCTACCTTTGGGTATTTTTTTTTTTTTGAGAAGTTAATACATTTGGATCTATTCTAAAGCTGTTGGACTTTTTAAAAATAAAAGTGTTACAAGTTTGCATTTGTGTGTACTTAGATATGAATTTTGCAGCTCCATATTCTTCAACAAAGGCCAACTTAGTACTTAAATCAGGAATACATGTTTAACGCTCCACTCTTCACAATGATCTTAACTCGTGATCTGTGCCAGAAAAATGCAAATAATGTTGTTCTAATGACTGGTATACCATAAGCATTACTGCTTTCAACTGTCCCCTTATTCTCATAGTGACTGATAAAATTCATGGCACTACCAATGACACCTTTGGGATTTTAACATAAAGCTGAGACCTTAAGATCAAGGAAAGCCCTGCTGGGTTAGGCCAACAGCCCATCTAGCCCCACATCCTGTATGTACTCACAGTGGCCAAACCAGATGCCTGAGTGGGGAGACTGGGACCATATCACGCTAGTGAATTTGACCAATGGGGCGTGTTCTCTGTCTCTCTCCATCCCTCCATATCCTACCCCCTGTGGGGTTGGTGTATCCAAATCCCACCCACCACAGGGTCAAAATCTCCCACCCCCTCCCCTTTATTCCTGGGAAGGGATACTCACATTCAATCCAGATATCTACTTAGAGTTAGAAGGGGAAGGTGGAACTTCCTGCCACTTTTCTTATGTCTAGGAGTGCTTTCCCCTCCGATGATCTGTCTCTTGCTCTAATTTTATTTTGTTTTCATTTTGGGTTTTTTCCTATTTACAACTTTTAGATAAAAAAATTCTAATAAAACTAAAAAAAAAGGGGGGGGAAAGCCCCCAAGCAGAACTCGAGTGCAACAAACTCTGCCCTTCATCAGTTCCCAGCAAGTGGTAGTTGAAAGCATTGCTGCCTCAGAAAGTGGAGGTACCTTACTGGTGGTTGGGTCTTTGAAGGGGTAAAGGTAAAGGGACCCCTGACCATTAGGTCCAGTCGTAACCGACTGGGTTGCATGCTCATCTCGCTCTATAGGCCGAGGGAGCCGGCGTTTGTCCGCATACAGCTTCCGGGTCATGTGGGCAGCATGACTAAGCCACTTCTGGAGAAACCAGAGCAGTGCACGGAAACGCCGTTTACCTTCCCGCTGGAGCGGTACCTATTTATCTACTTGCACTTTGACGTGCTTTCGAAATGCTAGGTTTGGCAGGAGCAGGGACCGAGCAACAGGAGCTCGCCCCGTCGCGGGGATTCGAACTGCCGACCTGATTGGCAAGTCCTAGGCTCTGTGGTTTAACCCACAGCGCCACCCACATCCCTTTTTTAAAGGGGCAATAATCTGGAAAATAACATGTTCCCACCTCCTGATTATTGCAAAGACAAACTTTCATGGAGAGAGGAATACCAGCATCTCTACCCAAAGCAATTGAGAAGGCAGCGTGTTTTAAGCCTGGCCAGTGTGAAAAGCCTTTTGATGTTTTAACCCCGTGTAAATTCCCAAAATGAACAGCTAACCAAGGAGGATCATCATGAGAAAAGGCTAAGGGCAAGGTTGTGCAGGGGTTAGCCTACAGGTTTAGGCCTTTGGGGGGGGAATCATACAGTTATTGCTTTATCAAAGCTAATCCAGAGTTGAATCCCAGTTGGAGGGTGACATTCAGATGCAATTGTGAGCCAGTGTGGTGTGGTTAAGAGCGGTAGTCACGTAATCTGGGGAACCGGGTTCGCGTCTCCGCTCCTCCACCTGCAGCTGCTGGGTGACCTTGGGCCAGTCACACTTCTCTGAAGTCTCTCAGCCCCACTCACCTCACAGAGTGTTTGTTGTGGGGGGAGGAAGGGAAAGGAGATTGTTAGCCGCTTTGAGACTCCTGAAGGGGAGTGAAAGGCGGGATATCAAATCCAAACTCCTCTTCTTCTTCAATAAGGTAGGTTTGCTGCTGCTGCCTGACCTTGGCAGAGGGAAAGCAAGCCTTGAAAATACTGATGTCCACAAGTCACTTGACGAAGATGAATGGGTTTAGGGATTCTCTGTGCTCTGACCACTCGGACCTCGTCCCAGTCAGCTGAGCAAGTTACAGTATGCAGAAGTATTTTCAGCAGAGTGAAGGTTAGGGGCTTAATGCAGGCCAAGCCAGAGATCCGCATCCTAAGCTGCTCATCTTGGCAGATCTTGCCATTGGTTTGCCCCCTTATTCAATTAAATCCTGCTGACCTAGTAATGCAAAGGGATGCAGCTGTGCCATTCTTATCACATTTTACACCACTCAGGTTAAGTGGTATAAGCCTTATGATTACAGGGCTTTTTATTCACAGTAACTGTAGATACAGGGACGCGGGTGGCGCTGTGGGTAAAACCTCAGTGCCTAGGACAGGGGTCAGCAACTCGCGGCTCCGGAGCCGCATGTGGCTCTTTTACACCTTTGCCGCGTCTCCGGGGCGGATACTAGCCAGGGGAGGAGGCGCATTGTGCGCCCTGACACTCCCCACTGTGGCGGGCGCTGTACTGGCTGTGACGTCGCATGGGGGCGGCGTGCGTTAGTCACGCACCGTCCCGACGTCACCTTCCCGACCGACCGCTACATTGTAAGGGGCATGTACGCTGGTCACTGTTTTGAAGGGGAGTGAAGAACACACACACACAAAAAGGTAACTTGTTAATTTAATGTTTATTTCTATGAGGAGGAGTAATTCTGAGGGGTCAAACAAAGAAATAATAAAAAAAGTGACAAAAAAGTTATTTTTATAATGACGAGTTTTGCGGCTCCCAGTTTTTTTCTCTTCGGAAACGGGTCCAAGTGGCTCTTTTTGTCTTAAAGGTTGCAGACCCCTGGCCTAGGACTTGCCGATCGTATGGACGGTGGTTCGAATCCCCGCGGCGGGGTGAGCTCCCGTCTTTCGGTCCCAGCTCCTGCCCACCTAGCAGTTCGAAAGCACTCTTAAGTGCAAGTAGATAAATAGGTACCGCTTTATAGCGGGAAGGTAAACGGCGTTTCTGTGTGCTGCGCTGGTGCTGGTTCGCCAGAGCAGCTTCGTCACGCTGGCCACGTGACCCGGAAGTGTCTCCGGACAGCGCTGGCCCCCGGCCTCTTAAGTGAGATGGGCGCACAACCCTAGAGTCTGTCAAGACTGGCCCGTACGGGCAGGGGTACCTTTACCTTTAACTGTAGATACAGTTTTCTGGATAAGAGTGTCAGGGTTGGAATAGCTGCGGCTTTTTGATATATTCCCCTCAATGCCGGCTCATGCTTTGAGATCAGTGGGGAGGTCCTCTTTGTAGTGCCACTGATGGGCGTAGTTCATGCAAAGTAGGGCTTTCTTGGTGGTGGTGCCCCACTGGGGAAGTTTGGTTGGACTCCCCCATTGACCAGGTTCCGTCGTTGATCGAAGATGCACTTGTTTGCCCTGGGACATAACTGGAAATAAGGAATTCTTTAAAGTTCCAATATTATTGTCTGCTGCATTCGGATTTTTTGTTTTTGGCATTTTAATTATTGGTGGTTATTTTAATTATTGGTTGTTATGACTATGTGTGCTCCAAAGGGTGGAAAGATGGTTTACAAAAATAAACAATATTTTATGCATTGCAATAAATGAACGATAGACGCAAACACAAAAAACCCCCAAATGACACAACTATTTGCACTGTTCAAAATAATACACCACTTCACTCATGGGGGCGAAAAGGTGCGTCAGAAGTTGGCAACCTGTAGATCTTTTTACTTACTTAACTTACTTTATGATTGCATGGAATTGCCATGGCCTTTGGCTATTTATTTAATTTTTTTAATTAATATTTTTTCTTTATTTATTTGCTTCCCGCCCATCACTGGGTAGGTTTACAGCATGGAAACTCAGTACAAAAACTGCTTTAAAAAATAACTTGAAAGCCAGAAAAATGAGCTTGTGGGACTCCAACTCCCATCAGCCCCAGCGCGGCATGACGGGAGTTGTAGTTCAGCAGAAAGAGAGAAAAACCCTCCAGGTTCGGGTCTAACTCGAAAGACGCCCTTGTCCCTCGCCCCGCCCCTTTCCCTGCAGCCGCCCGGGTCCTTCCTCCGCGCAGGCGCGTTCCCCTTCCGTGTCGCCCTCCGCGCGCGCTTCCGCCCGGCCCGCCTCCCCTCCCTTTCCCCGGCCGGCGGCTTCCGCGGAGCATGCGCAGCTTGGCGGGGCTCCTGAGGGAGGAGAGCGCGGGGGGTGGGGGAAATGGCGGCCGCGGTGCTGGCGGCGTCGGAGGGCGGCGGCGGCGCGGGCGGAGGAAGCAGCGGCTGCTCCGGCGGGGTCTCCGGGGCGCTCATGCCGGGGGGAGGAGGAGGAGGAGCGGGCCTGGGCTCGGGGGGCGGCGGAGGCGGCGGCGGCGCTGCTGCCTCTTCGGCGGGCCCGTCGTCGTGGACGCGCTCGTTGGAGCGGGCGCTGGAGGAGGCGGCGGCCAGCGGCGCCCTCAGCCTGAGCGGCAGGAAGCTGAGGGACTACCCGCGGGGCAGCGCCGCCAGCCACGACCTCAGCGACACCACGCAGGCCGGTGAGGAGAGGGGAAACGGGGGGGGGAGAGGGAGGGAGGGCTGCGCCCCCGAATATATGGGAGGAGGAGCCCCCAAGCGCCTCTGGGGGCGGGAGGGGGCAAGGGGTGCTCCCCCCACACCTCTGTGTTTGGGGGGTGTTCCCTCCACCCCTCAGTGTTTGGGGGGCAAGGGGTGTTCCCTCCACCCCTCAGTGTTTGGGGGGGCAAGGGGTGTTCCCTCCACCCCTCTGTGTTTGGGGGGGCAAGGGGTGCTCCCCCCACCCCTCAGTGTTTGGGGGGCAAAGGGTGCTCCCTCCATTCCTCAGTGTTTGGGGGGGCAAGGGGTGCTCCCTTCACCCCTCAGTGTTTGGGGGGGCAAGGGGTGCTCCCCCCACCCCTCAGTGTTTGGGGGGGCAAGGGGTGTTCCCTCCACCCCTCTGTGTTTGGGGGGCAAGGGGTGCTCCCTCCACCCCTCAGTGTTTGGGGGGGCAAGGGGTGTTCCCTCCACCCCTCAGTGTTTGGGGGGCAAAGGGTGCTCCCTCCATTCCTCAGTGTTTGGGGGGGGCAAGGGGTGTTCCCTCCACCCCTCTGTGTTTGGGGGGCAAGGGGTGCTCCCCCCACACCTCAGTGTTTGGGGGGGCAAGGGGTGTTCCCTCCACCCCTCTGTGTTTGGGGGGCAAGGGGTGCTCCCTCCACCCCTCAGTGTTTGGGGGGGCAAGGGGTGTTCCCTCCACCCCTCTGTGTTTGGGGGGCAAGGGGTGCTCCCTCCACCCCTCAGTGTTTGGGGGGCAAGGGGTGCTCCCCCCACCCCTCAGTGTTTGGGGGGCAAAGGGTGCTCCCTCCATTCCTCAGTGTTTGGGGGGGCAAGGGGTGTTCCCTCCACCCCTCTGTGTTTGGGGGGCAAGGGGTGCTCCCCCCACACCTCAGTGTTTGGGGGGCAAGGGGTGCTCCCTCCACCCCTCTGTGTTTGGGGGGCAAGGGGTGCTCCCTCCACCCCTCAGTGTTTGGGGGGGCAAGGGGTGCTCCCCCCACCCCTCAGTGTTTGGGAGGGCAAGGGGTGCTCCCCCCACCCCTCAGTGTTTGGGGGCAAGGGGTGCTCCCTCCACCCCTCAGTGTTTGGGGGGGCAAGGGGTGCTCCCTCCACCCCTCAGTGTTTGGGGGGGCAAGGGGTGCTCCCCCCACCCCTCTGTGTTTGGGGGGCAAGGGGTGCTCCCTCCACCCCTCAGTGTTTGGGGGGGCAAGGGGTGCTCCCCCCACCCCTCTGTGTTTGGGGGGCAAGGGGTGCTCCCTCCACCCCTCAGTGTTTGGGGGGGCAAAGGGTGCTCCCCCACCCCTCAGTGTTTGGGGGGCAAGAGGTGTTCCCTCCACCCCTCAGTGTTTGGGGGGCAAGAGGTGTTCCCTCCACCCCTCAGTGTTTGGGGGGGCAAGGGGTGCTCCCCCCACCCCTCTGTGTTTGGGGGGCAAGGGGTGCTCCCTCCACCCCTCAGTGTTTGGGGGGCAAAGGGTGCTCCCCCACCCCTCAGTGTTTGGGGGGCAAGAGGTGTTCCCTCCACCCCTCAGTGTTTGGGGGGGCAAAGAGTGCTCCCCCACCCATCAGTGTTTGGGGGGCAAGGGGTGCTCCCCATACCCCTCAGTGTTTGGGGGGGGCAAGGGGTGCTCCCCCACCCCTCGGTGTTTGGGGGTGCAAGAGGGTCTCCTCCAGGGGCGCTGGCCCAAATGGCCCTCTTTGCGCCCCTCCACCTATTTATTTTATTGGCTGGACTGCTTCATTGGTTGCGTTCATAGCCCGCCTTTTAATCCGACGTTGGGCATACATGGTTTCCTCTCCCCGCCCTCCTCCTTCCATCTCCACAACGCCCCTGTGAGGTGGGCTAGGCTGAGAGAGGCAGTGGTTGCTTCCCCCCCCCCTCCCGTGACACTCAGTGAGCTTCATGGCTGAGTGGGGGGACGGGACTCGAATCCAGGTCTTCGTCCCATGCGGCGTTGGCTATTCTGGATTTGGCTCCACCTGTTCTCTGGACCACAGATTAGGATCTGCCGTTACAAATATATCCCGTATTTTTCCTCTGTGGGTTTCATGATAGGTCAGTCGGGGGTCAGGGTCATTGGTTTGAGCCCCACGTTGGGCAAAAGATTCCTGCGTTGCAGGGGGCTGGACTAGATGATCCTCGGGACCCCTTTCCAACTTTTGAAGTCTATGATTCAATGACTCAAGGGCAGTGTGTATTGTTTTCCCCCTCCCTGCCTCTTCAGTTAACCCCCACAACAACCCAGTGGGGGTGGGTTGGGCAGAGAGAGGCGGTGGCTGGCTGGCATCCAAGGCCACCCAGTGAACTTTATGGCCGAGTGGGGATTTGAACCCTGGTCTGTCCCAGGTCCTAGTCTGACACTCCTTAACTACTGCAACACACTGGCTCTCTCAGTTTTTCTATCCTTTCTTTCCAGTGTGATGCAGCAGCTAAAAAAGCTAATGCGATTCTAGGCTGCATCAACAGAAGTTACAGTGTCCGGATCAAGGCAAGTTGTAGTCCTTCTCTATTCAACCTCAGACCCCACCTGAAGTAACGTGTCCAGTTCTGGCCACCACAATTTAAGAAGGTTGTTGACAAGCTGCAACATGTGCAAAGGAAGGTGACCCAGATGATCAAGGGTCTGGAAACCAAGCCTTGTAAGAACAGTTAAGGGAGTTGAGTATGTTTAGCCTGAGGAAGAGTAGACAGAGAGGACATAGGATAGCTATCTTCAAGTATCTGAAGGGGTCACATGGAACATGGAGCAAAAACATTAGGAAGGACTTTCTGATGGTAAGAGCTGTTCGACAGTAGAATGGACTCTCTTAGAAGGTGCTGGGTTCTGTTTTCCTGGAGGTTTTTAAGCAGAGGTTGGGTGGTCATTTGCCAGGGATTATTTAGCGGTATTGTATGAGATTGAACTGGGGATGCGGGTGGTGCTGTGGGTAAAACCTCAGCGCCTAGGACTTGCCGATCGTATGGTCAGCGGTTCGAATCCCCGCGGCGGGGTGAGCTCCCGTCGTTCGGTCCCAGCTCCTGCCCACTTAGCAGTTCAAAAGCACCCTTAAGTGCAAGTAGATAAATAGGTACCGCTTTATAGCGGGAAGGTAAACGGCGTTTCCGTGTGCTGCGCTGGCTCACCAGAGCAGCTTCGTCACGCTGGCCACGTGACCCGGAAGTGTCTTCAGACAGCGCTGGCCCCCGGCCTCTTAAGCGAGATGGGCGCGCAACCCCAGAGTCGGTCACGACTGGCCCGTACGGGCAGGGGTACCTTTACCTTTACCTTTTATGAGGTTGGACAAGATGCCCCTTGAGGTCCTTTCCATCCTACAATTCTATGATTCCTCCTAGGAGCTCAGTGAGGTGTATAGAGTTCTCCCCTTCCCCATTTTATCCTCACAACAATCCTGTGAGGGGAGTCGGACTGAGAGTGACTGGCACCTAAGGTCACTCATTGAGCTTCATCCCTGAGTAGGGATTTGTACCCTGGCCTCCCAGGTCTTCATCCGACACCCTTAACCACGATGCCAGAAAGGCTGCTTTGTAACTCTAACCAGAGTGTGGGAGCAAGGCGAAGGCTGCCTTCCTTCCTTCCTAGTTGGGTTGTGTGTGTGTCTGTGCTGGTGAGCCCCAAGAGCCAAGGATGCTTCCCAGTGCTGGTCAAAATGCACAGCCATAACTGTAGACCACCTTGGTAAGGCTGCTAGAACCCTATTTACTGGGGAGTATGCCTAATTGATCTCCCTGGGACTTACTTCAAAGTAAACATTGCCCTGCTATTCCACAAAAATTGTGTGGATTAGTGAATTGTTTCATGCCAGTTTGCATGAATTGGGATGCTTGCAAATAAATGCAATTACCAGTATTGAGGTTAATTTCAGATAGGTGTTGTTATGATTGCAGTCCTCAAAACACTTACTGGGGAGTAAGCCTCATTTGAAGTCAGTAGACTGATCTCTGAGTAAATATGCATAAGTTGTGGGCCGCTTATGTGTGGATTTTGTATGTGTAATACAAGCATTTGTATATTACAAACCACCTGCACTGGATGCCAAAGTGAGTTGAATGTATTATGTGGTGTTATTTATGAAATATTATACATCTGGGATCACAGAAAATGATCCTGCAAAAGTAGAATGGGGAAAAATGTTTGTGTAGCTTAGATATTAGATTTATTAAAAATACTTAGAATCATAGAATTGTAGAGTTGGAAGGAACCCCAAGGGTCATCTAGTACAACCCCCTGCAAGGCAGGAATCTTAGCTAGATCATATATGACATGTGGTCATTCAACTTCTGCTTTAAACCGTCAAGAAAGGAGAGTCCACAACCTCCTGAAGGAGACCGTTCCACTGTCAAATAGCTTTTACTGTTGGAATTTTTCCCCTGATGTTGGATCAGAATCTCCTTTCTGGTAACCTGAAGTAATTTGTTTCGAATCCTACCCTCCAGCAGGGCAGGAAAAAACAAGCTTGTTCCTTCTTCCATGTGACAGCTGTTCTAACCTGCCTTACTGCTCAAAGGGACCCCCAAGATGGCAACATAGCACCATCAGTTTGGTTATACGTACAGAGAGAGAGAGGTGCAAAAGGCAGGTCCCTGCCCCAAGGAACCTTACAATCTAAACTTGATCAAGGGGAGAAGGAGAGCTTTAGCTGACAAATGATATGAGCAGTTGCACACACGAAGGCTTTGATTCAGCTGAGGACTGTAAAGTTTCCTTCTTTTCTACCGTATGAGTGTGAAATGTGGTGTACAACTGCCACTCCCTCCTCCACAAATCGAAATGATTCAAAATAATTTTGAAAGCATAATGGGTGAATAATGGTCTTGATCCCTGGAGAATTAGGGAGTCCCCGAGGAATAGGAAAACCCCCACAGTGGAATAGTCCACCATCTGGAACGCTTCCCTCTTCTCTCCCTACCCCAACTTAAGAGGGTATTTCATGGGCCCCTGTAGGCTGGGAGAACCTGCTGGAGAATAGATGGCAGCATTTCGGGGGTGGCATC